TTAGAAGGTGCTTCTATTAACAAAGAGAGACAACAAGGAAGGGCAAGCTTTTACTATTGCCCTTAGTTTTATCAAATTTACGCCCTGGTCCGCAACCAGAAAGCCAAGGGATTTGGAAGCTACTGTATGTACAACTATATGTCTAACCACAGGTATAACTCTTATACTATCTTTAGTAACAAGCCTAGTGATGCTTTATTTTGCTTTATGTCTGTCTGGTATCATCCGTGCACATCTGGTCGCTTGCTGCACAAGTGGACTTTAGCATCATAGTTGCGCACTTTGGGAAGACTTTTCAGAAGGATACTTACTGCTCTGCATCATTTGAGGCCATTCACAGAGTCCATGACAGATGAACTAGGCTCACTATGATGTTAGTGGATATTTACCAAGCACTTAATTCCAGCAGTATGTGTTTGGGTATTCCCAGAGCCCTGGATGCTCCTAAGTCAATTAGAGCTAATGATAGTTAGCTTCCACAACTCTTGGGGATTAAGCTAAATCCGATAATATCTAGGAGAGGAGTTAAGATCGCGGGCACAAGTTTAGCTTTTAGCAAATGAGGCATCAACCAAAGAACTACAGTGTGCCACTGTACAGCTTAGTAGTAGAATCAGAATCCCCAAGAGAAAGATTGCATTGCTTAGTGCTACATGGCCTAGACTGTCATTAGCTCTTCTCTTCCCAGCCCTCACTGGCAAACACCAAATGAGGTGATGGCATACTGCTGCAGGTATGTAAGCAGAAGGTGCCTACACACACACACACACACACACACACACACGCACACACACACACATGTACATGTGTGTGTGTGCGCGCGTGCGTGTGTGTGTGTGTGTGTGTGTGATATTTGATCATTTCACCCCCAGTACCTCCCCCACCAACTCCTCCCAGATCCTCCCCTACTCCCTGTACTCCTCCCAGTTTTGTATCCTGGTTGTTGTTTTAAAATAACCAACCAAGAGTCAAATTTGTGCTATTCTTATTTTCACATGTGTGGGGCCATCCACTGGAGGTTGACCACACTCTTCAAGAAATTGTCTCTCCTTCCCATGAAAGCCTTCAGCTACCAGGAACTCTTGAGTAAGAGCTTGAGAGTACTTGTCCCTTTCATAATGCTGACTGGCTAGATCTTGGGCAGCTCTTGGGTAGGCTACAATAGCTACTGTGAGTTCACTGGTCCTTCTTGTCCTGTGACTCTGGGAATTTCCCCTTCCCATCTGGGTGATAGTCCCTGAGCTTCAGGAGAGTTGGATAGGATACAGACTTCCCATTTGTTGCTTTGCATTCCACAGACTCACATTCCCAGCACTTGAACCAGTTTTGAGTTTCTGCACTTGCCCCTGTTCACTTCTCAAAGTAACTTCTTTAATTTCTAATAAGGTTTTTTAATCATAAAAAAGCTATGTATATAAACAATGAAAGGTAGGTCTCGTTGGGCTTTTTAAATTTTATTTTAAAAAATATTTTACAACAATATACTATACAACTATAAATGCTTCCTTTTCCTCTTTGCAACAATTGGACCATATGATAGGGTATGTGCTTCTCTTTATTTTTAACTCACTATATCTTGAGGTTGAAACTACTTTTATTTATATAGGTTTAATGACCTCTTGATGGTAGCTGGGTGTTTTGAATATTTATAGAGTTTGCTCTGACATCTGTTTATAGGTGACAATCTGCAGAATGCACCTTTAGAAATAGACAGACGGTGTCCAAGGTTAAGATGCAGTTTAGACTCTTCCCACCCCATCTCACCTTACACTTGCATAGCCACCTTCTGCCTACATACCTGCAGCAGTATGTCATCAGCACATTTGGTGTTTGCCAGTGAGGGCTGGGAAGAGAAGAGCTAATGACAGTCTAGGCCAAAGTAATCCTGACAAGGGAAGAGGTGAAAGATGAATTAGAAGAGATGAAAGAAGTGAAGCTAATAAGCTTCCGACAATGACAATATGCCAAGCAGTGACTTGACTAGACACCTCGTATTCTAATGTCTACTTTGCCATATCAACCTATAAATATTTCTTTTTAAAACTTTGTGTTTGTGTGTGTGTGTGTGTGTGTGTGTGTGTGTGTGTGTGTGTGTGACAATAGGTGTGGAATGTCAGTGGACAACCCTGGTTGAGGCAGGTTCTCTTGTATACTGCTGTGTGTGAGAAGCTAGCTTTTGGACATTTTCTTGTCTCTGCAACCCAGTATCTGTCATTATGTGGCACCCTGGGATTTGAACTCAGGTACTTATGCTTGTCTGAGAAGTACTTTCTCTGGTGAAGTGATTTCCTTAGTTTCCCCCTGTGCTATCTTATTCCTTGTGTACTTTGAAGACCAATGTCTGCTTACCCTACCTCCTGTGAACTTCTGTTTCCCATTGAGGAAAGCAACACAGGAGAAACCTACATGATTTAGCCAAGGTCCAAAATCAACTTCTGTTGACACAGAAGATCCAATTTACCACTCCTTAAATACTGCTTTAGATTGCAATTCCAGTTCTGTACTAGAAAGGCCTCCAAGAGTTTGAATTTTCTCAGGATGAATTTTGTACACAGTTTGAGCTTAATAATTGGGTCAAATCCAGCCATTTTCTATAACAAAGAGTTTCTTTGTAGAGACATTGTGATAGTAAACACATTGGCATTTTCCCCACTGGTGAAGATTCTTTGCTTTTGTTTTTGTATTTTTGTAACTGGATCTCATGTAGCCCAGGCTCTCCTTGAATTTACTCTGTAATCGAAGCTGACTTGAACTCTCAATCATCATACATCCACCATGCCTGCTTATGGTCAGTTCTTCAAGGTTCCTCCCAACGGTACACATGTTCTTCGCTTCAAACTGCTGTAGCTACTCAAGGAGTAGCTACATCACTAAGCTGTGTGTAATGAAGAGTTTTAGATTTTTTTGTTTAGAAAATTAAGCAGCTACTCCTAAATTCTACTCCTAAAGCTTCAGCATATTAACACATTTCAAGATATCTTCCTGGGCAGACTCAGAAGTGGGGATGCAAACTATGACCTTTTCCTGCTCCTGCTTCCATCTCAGGAGCACTGAGATGGAGGACTTACTGCTTGCTCTTCTTGCTGAGGAGTACTAAGATGGGGGTCTCACTGGGACTCTTTTGGTTTTTTACTTCACCTATTTTTGAGGCATTTTTTGTAGATCAGGATGTTTTCCATTTGAATACAAAAATGTGAGGCTTCAGGCTTTTTCTTGTGTTTTAATGATACTGTAACATCACAAAGGTTCCACCAGGAGACAATGTCTAAATGACACAAAATATGTGGTGAGAGCGTAATAAGGAGATGGACCTTAGAAAATACCCTTTTATAATGAAACAATTAACCTGGGCCAATGACATTTTAATTAAGAACACCCAAGGTCTACATTGTACCAGCTGGACAACATCACCACAGTGGCCATTCCTGTAGTGTAGAGCCATGAGTGTCTAGAGAATTAGACATCTATTGTATTTGCCCGAAGCAAGGAAAGTGTCACTGTTAAAGAATGGAATATGAGCACTGCAGTAGTCTTAGAAATTAACTAGCTCAAAATCCAATTTTACTGAAAAGGTAACACAGGCTCAAGAGTACATGCTGTTCAGCTGCAGTATCAGCTGAAATGAGATACTAGATACAAGCCCTGCCTGTGTGGTTGGGATCAGTTCTCACGAGGTGATCCATAGTGTGTGTTTGTGTGTGTGTGTCTGTCTGTGTGTGTATCTGTGTGTGTGTCTGTGTGTGTATCTGTGTATGTGTCTGTGTGTGTGTCTGTGTGCAAACATGCAGACAGGTGTACAAAGAGGTCAGAATTGACCTCCTTCAGTTGTTCTCCACCATAAATTTATTTATTATTATTGTTTTATGTGTGATTATATGTAGGTAGGTGATGAGGGGTGCCTTAGTGTCATAGTGTGGTGGGGGAATACAAGAGGATAACTTCATAGACTTGCTTCTTTTCTTTCATCTTTATGGGTTGTAGGGATCAAATCCCAGTAATTGAGCTTGCAAAGCCAAATGCCTTTGTTGAGCCATCTTGTCTATACATCTCCGCCTTATTTTAAAGCAAGGTCTTTAAATAAGGTCAGTGATCGTGGAGATCACTGATCAGCTGAACTAGTTGGCTAGCTGGCCAGCAAGTCAAAAGGATTCTGGTTTCTCTACATTCCTCTCCCGAGCAGTGGGGTTCTACATACTGGCATCTCTAACTTGTACTTTTTGCTAGGAATCTAGACTTGGGTCCTCACATTGTGTATCAAGTACTTTACCAACCCCTGGTACAAGAATTTAGTTATTGAACATTTTGTTCATTTGTTTTCAAAGCAGGCCAGGCATATTTACAGACTTACGGTTTTAACTGAGAAAATATAAGAATGAGGAAACTAAATCATGTTTTTTAAAAAAAAGGATAAGGTAAAGTAAATAAAGTCATTTATCCCCAGAAGCTAAGCTCAAAGATTGTTCTAGGAGTTACTGCTCCACTTGAGGGCTGTGCCTACTGTCTCTTGATCTAAGTGCTGCTATCTCTGTGAATGATCAACTGTTGAAGACGTGTTTCAAATTAACTGTATAAATAACCTGTCGGCGTCGTCCTTCATTGTCCAGTTCTCACAGCAAACAAAATGTGATGTGTTTTTATAACTGGAGAGATATTTGACTTCTTCCTTCTTTCCCACATTTGGATATAGATTGATATAGCATTACTTAAAATGCTGCATATAAATTAAACATTAAACAGGCGATATGGAGAAGCTAACTGCCCCAATAGAATCGTTAGCTCTGCAGTCATCGCCTCAAGGACACTCATATTTCATATCGGGTGTCCTTCTTTTGAAAAGTGACCACCAAGGTTCAAGTGACATTTAAGTATATCAGGCAGCTGCATAATTTATGGACCGTTTTGTTTTGTGTTCTTATATTAACAACAGAAAAAACATGAAAACAGACTGTGTTCAAACATTAACATATTTACTCTGGTCTTCTTCCCACCTTGTCCCACAGATTGGCGCGCTGAAGGACTACTATCACTTCTACCATAGTAGGACCATTAAAAGATCTGTTCTCTCAAGCAGAGGAACCCACAGTTTCATTTCAATGGAACCAAAGGTAAGAATAGCCAGTTGGATGGAGACCAAGAAGCAATGCTTCTGCATTTTTCATTGGCAATAACACTAGGAGCCAGTGATCGAGCATGAGGCTCCTGTTTCCACCTCTGTCACAGTATCCTTTGGTTCAGTATCTGTCTGCCCTCAGGCCACACCACTCTCCAGCTTGATTTTTACTGACATGCCCTTGTCAACCCACATGTGGAACATGTGGGTATAGCCCTAGGTATAATCTTTTATGCATAATTGAGAGGGGCCACAGCTAAAGAAGCGATCAGTTGAACATGTTTAAAGGAAGAAGATGCCATCTCTCTCTATGCATGCAGCTTCAGGTACTGAGAGCTCCATGGGTGATTTTTCCCCCTAGACATATTGACTTACATTGTTCTTAGCATTGATAGTCTAGAACCAAGCCGTGTCTGGGACAGAAAGCATGCTTGCCCCCACAGGAACAAAAGTCAACTTCTACTCTTAGGGACTTATCCATATTCTTCTTGCACCTGGTCTTTTTGGTCTGTAAAGCAGTATACTCCTAGGAGACCCTATAAGGAAGTAATGACAAGCTATGAGTCTCCCATGTGATAACATGAGGTAGCTTTGGTATGAGATATGGGAATCTAGGAAGTATTGGGGACAAAGTAAGAAACAACTATGACACTGACATCAAGTTAAGTAGCTGTCTTTATTAGGAAGGAAGAAACTGACCTCCAAAGAATCAGAACTCCAAGATGTGCTGAGTAATGAAGAAGCAGAGGTGGCTATGCCAACATATCCTAGATCCTCTTCAGGTTTATTATGGTACATAATTCAGTGTTTATGCTGTTTTGTCTCTTCCCCTCCATGTGATTTTGGTTTGCCATAGAACTCATTTTCAAATAAATCAACAATTTCCTGCCAACAAGCATAGTGGCCTCATCTAGAGGCTCTTGGGAAATTGTATTCCTTGTTAAAGAGGCTATTTATTACATGGATTTGTGTACAATTCAATGTATGGTCTGGAGTCTGGCCTTCTGTTATGGGCCATGGTTTACCTTGTGTCTTAGTTAGGGTTTCTATTGCTATGAAAAGACACCATGACCATAGCAACTCTTATAAAAGAAAACCTTAACTGGGGCTGGCTTACAGTTCAGAGGTTTTATACATTATCATCATGGTAGGAAGCATAGCAGCATGCAGGTAGACATAGTGCTGGAGAGGTAGTTCAGAGTTCTACATCTAGATATGCCAGCAGCAGGAAGAGAGAGTGACACTGAGCCTGACTTGAGCATTTGAAATAACAAAGCCCGTTCAGTTATATAATTCTCTCAACAAGGCCACACTTACTCCAACAGAGCCACACACCCTAATAGTGCCACTCCTTATGAGCCTATGGATACTGCCCTCATTAAGCCACCACACTCTGTTTAAATTTTCCTTGGAATATTTCCTTGGGATATTATGGCACAATGTTTATGACTGTGAAATTGTATTTTAGTAGTTAGAGCAAGTACATTTCTTTCATCCTCCCCCCTTCTGTGTGACATAAAGGCATCCCCTAATATGTTCACTTCAGTGTCCTGCAGATGATGTGTACATATTTATTTCTGTTTAGAGTAATTATTCTGAAGAGGTAAGCTGTTGGGGCAGTTTGAATTTGCTATACCTTTAAAGCAGTCACAGTTCTTTCATCTGTTGAGCAACAGTCTTGAACTTTGGCAATTAGCATGACTTCCGTTTCAAACGTCATGTACAAAGTCCACGTGAATTGAAAAGTCGGCTTGCCAATTAGGAACAGAAGGTGTTGAGACTTCGTTTACCTGAGAATTGACTACATAAGGAGCTATTTCCATCTTTAATTACCTTAGGCATCTTGCTTTTTGTTTTTTTTTTTCTTATCTCTATGCATGAAATAGCTTATGTTAGATCCAATAGACACCTTGGATCCTGGTACATCCAGTACCTGAACACCCACCCTTCTCAAAGACTCTAGGGGTGAAAGGCCAGTTATGCCATCCCAGTGACTTCTGTGTCAGTCTGCCTCCACAATAAAAGGGATGCCCCAAAGTAGTGCTATGCCTTAATCTCCAGCCTTGCCTATAACTACCACAGAGGTGGGTTTCTACCCTTTTCTTTGTATTGTTGTAGTCCACTGATTCATTGGCTATTTCTTGAGCCCCCAATGTCTCCAGCTCCATGTCAGGCTGGGGTACCTCTTGGTTCTCTGAGAGCAGCTTTCAAGGACCCCCAGGGTAGAATGATGTTTCTTAGCATTGGGCTTTGGGGGGGAAAGGAAATAGAAAATGCTTTCCTCCAACAAACTTAGGCTCAATCAGCATTTTTCTTTTCAAACTTAAGAAGACAAGACAAAACTCACTTTATTTAGAATGAAGCTGTAAAAGTAGTTTTCTGGATTCCCCAAGCTGTCCATCCTCTCTCTCATCTTAATCTGTGCACACACAGACACAGCCACACACATACACATGGATGTTTCCTGAACATTCAGGAGGGAGCTGCAAATATATTCCTTCAATTCAAACTCCTATAAATCCTGAGAATCAGGGATGAAGGATGGAGTAGACTCCTTTGCATATCAAACATAAGATCCCGTGCTTAGTTCCCAACTGTACTAAATAAACAAACAAATAACCAAAAGCACCACAGTAGTAAACAACCCTGGTATTCCTTCATTAAACAATAGGGAATTCTATACTGTTGTCACAAGTACAATAACAGAAGTCTGGATGTCAACATTGACTCGGTGTTGTAACTTATTATATAGGCTTTATATTCTCAGTGCTTCCTTCTGTGGATCAGGATCACATGGACATGTCATGGCTCCCAACTCTTCATCACTCATTTATAGTCTTCTGCTTTCTCTTCTTTGGAAGAGTATAACCCAGTAATTTAACATAATACATTTTAAGATGTGTGTCACTCTCCTAGCAGATTCACATTTGGCTACACAACACAGGGGCAAATGTACCTTTCTCTGAATCTGTAGAGGAAAACACAGGATGCTAGTTTATTCTGTTGTAGACGTTGACTTTAACTTTATGGTTAGGATGGGCTCTTTACTTTAAAACTGCTATTTTTCACTGAGTGTGGGCATGCTGATAATTTCAGTATTCAGGAGACTAAGGCAGGAGTAGTATGATTTTGAGGGCAGACTTGGATACATAGTATGATTTTACCTTAAAGTAAGTAAGTAAGTAAGTAAGTAAGTAAGTAAGGCTGTCTTTTCTTTCTTAATCTATAAATACTTAATAAATATTTTGTAGAGAGACATTTAAAGATAATATATATTTAGTCTATTTTCTTTTGATATAACAAAATACTTGAGGCCAGATAAGATGAAAAGACATTTACTTAGCACTTGGTTTTGAAGGCTAAACAAACAACATAGTATGATCTCTGGTAATGGTTCTCCATGACTGTGTTACCTTACTGATAGCATGATGGGGAGAGTGTGTGTGAGAGATTTTACATGGCAAGACAGGAAGCCAGAGAATTGGAAAGGCTTTTAAAGTAATGCTCTCATAAGACTCACTGACCTCCCACAAAGCCCTCACCTCTTAAACATCCCATTAGTGACCAGGCTTTCAGGTCCAAAACCTATTGGAACATGCCACACTCGAGCCATAGCATTATGTAAATTTCCATGTGCTTTATATGCTTCAATCTGAGTTAACTTCATGAGATGATGGAGTGATTGCTCTGGCATGCCAATCACTCCTTAAAGTATGGTGGAGTGTTTGGTGTTCCCGAGCAGGGGCACATCTGTGGCATTGGACTATGGGCAATGGCTTTATAGAGGACATCAGTGATGTTAACTTCATGTTACTTTTAACTACCACCTTCTCAAGAAGGGGAAAATGGCAGGGTGGTTGAAGGGGTGCACACACCAAACAGTCTCCACTTTGTTTGCTCTACTAAATTGCATAGCTGCTTCTGAGTTTACTTAGAGTGTTCCAAAGAAGGAAAGGCCAAAGCAGCCACATTGTGAGGATAATCCTCTAGATTCTAAGAAAGTTGTGCGGTCAGCTGGGGCACATGAACCTTGAGAGAGAGACTAGCTTTCACTCCCACACATTAACGTGGCATTGTGATTATCATTTTAAATGACAGGGATTCACAGACTTCTGAGATGACAGCACTGGTATAATAACAACGTAGCCTGGCAGGAAGTGTTGGCACACTTTAAAGCAGTGGGAAAATAAGTTTTCCATCCCCAACCCCTGTGTGTGTGTGTGTGTGTGTATTATGCACACATGTGAAAACATGCTTAGCTGTGCTTGTGCATGTAGAAGCGAAAGGTCAATGTAGGACATCTTCCTCTTATTTTCTACATTAGATCTTCCTTTTAATTTCTACCTTGGTTTTTGAGATAGTTTCTCATTGAACTCAGAGCTTGCTTTTCTGGCTAGACTTTCAGACCCTGTCTTTATGACATTATCCACAGAGTCATGCCCCCAAGCCATCATCCTGGGCTGTTGTTGTTGTTGTTGTTGTCGTCGCTTTTTTGAGTGACCAATCATTCTCTAGAGAAGCAAAGTCTTCTGAAACAATAGTCTACTCTCATTCTAAGAGCTTCTTTCTCTTTAAGTACTTAATTTTTAAATGATGTGTATATGTGTGTGCATGTTAATGTGTGAGTCTGTGCAGCTGCCCAAATTGTCCAGAGACAGTGTCAGATACCCTGAAGCTGGGGTTACAGGTGGCTGTGATCTAACCTGCATGAGCACTGGGAGCAAAACTGGGTCCTGTGCCAGAGCTATACAGACACTTGTATGTGCTGCTACCTCTCTAGCACCTCTAAGAGTTCATCAATCCATCTGTGTATACGTCTGTGTATACCCTCCGCAGTCAGTTATGAACACCACCATTTAGATTTCTTGTACCTATATAAAAGCCACATATAGTAACAAATGTCTGTAACCTCAGGATTAGGATGGAGAGAGATAGCAGCACTTAGGGACTCTCTGGCCAATAAGTTGAGTCTCTTTCTCTCTCTCTCTCTCTCTC